GAAAACATAATAAGAAAGAGATCTGGTGGCGAGACCTCCAGGCCGGGCAGACCAGATCACTGGGGAAGAGTGATACAGGGACCAGTACTGGTAATTGTGAATGGGTGTATCAGACTCGGGATATCTTGCTTGTGAGCAAGAAGTTTTCCAGGGGGTTGTTATGGGAGCAAGGTTCTGCAAAGGACATGTTACTGACTGACTGACTGATATTTTTTTAAAACTTACTAAAATTTATAAATACAGAACTGCAAAAAAAAAAATAAAAGGATAGCATTATAATAATGTTCAGGGGTCCTGTTTGTTTGTGTGTGTGTGTGTGTATACGCGCGCGTGCGTGTGTGTGGATGACATCATAGACCCCTTAAATTTGTTTAAGGGTCTGTGAACCACCAAACAGGGAAAGACTGCTATATGCCATTTTGCCAATAAATGTTTGGATAATATTTAACAACTCCTATATGACTTTTATTTTCATTGTGAATTTGTGTAATATAAAACAACCAGAATTATAAACAATATGCACAAAAGTCAACAACATGAAACCATATTTGTTAGAAAAACATTAGGTTCTTGTTGACTTTGTCCCAACCTTTCTGGCAAGATCCTGGCCATGTCAGCCACCAGGTGCTGACTGTTTTAACCCTTCCGTCACATAAAAATCTTAAGTAATGACTTTTTCTTCAAAATTTTGTACAGAAGAAATACACGGCTATAATTCTCTGAAACTACCGTAAAAACTACAGGAAAAGGAGAAGTAAAGGAAGTTTAGTCTTGGGCAGTTTTATTAACATCTAAGTGATCAAACTCCTCGACCACTGAAAAGCAGGCAATTGTGAAGTCCACAGCTAAAGTGCAGCCATCAAATCAACAAAATAACTTATTCTCAAGCAACAACAAAAATAACCAACCAATTTGTAAGTAAGGAAGTTAATCACTAAATACAAATGGAGCAAAGAATTAACTGCTTTCCTTGTTTTGACTAAGATACACATAGTTTTGTTGACTTAGCCATAGTGAGCAAAGTGATTTTATATGAGATTATTATGAGGTAATAATGACATCACAATGTTAAAAAGTTTGATTTTCTTTTAACCCTAATAACTTATAAACAAAACTTGTTGAGTGTATATAGTCATATGACCTTGTCTACACACTATGCAGTTTCAGCCAGTATCAAAACTCAGGCATTGTGGCCACTTCTTAAATACTTTATGTCATCAAACACTTGAAATATGGGTTAAACAACTTTGTTTGAGGAGACAGGGTTAAAATGGCTAGCATCATAATTCTTACAATCCTCTAAGAATGTCATGTAAAAACCACACACAAAACAAAAGATGGTTTATCCGGTACTTTCTATTCTGTGATGTTGATGTCAGTTACCCTTTAAATAATTTTCCAGTTTAACTTATTTGTTATTAAACAAAGTATTATGCATCTACAGGTTTCTAATACACGATATTAGCTTCTTCTTCTTCTTTTATCCTACTGCTTATGCTGTAAATCGTCTCAGAAAAGAGTTAGATGTAGTTTCCTGTCTTTTGTCCTACTGTTTATGCTGTAAATCATTGCAGAGAGGAGTTAGACGTAGTTTCCTGTCTTTTGTCCTACTGCTTATGCTGTAAATCGTCACAGAGAAGAGTTAGACGTAGTTTCCTATCTTTTGTCCTACTGCTTATGCTGTAAATCATCACAGAGAAGAGTTGGATGTAGTTTCCTGTCTTTTGTCATACTGCTTATGCTGTAAATTGTCACAGAGAAGAGCTGGACGTAGTTTCCTGTCTTTTGTCCTACTGCTTATGCTGTAAATCATCACAGAGAAGATTTGGACATAGTTTCCTGTCTTTTGTCCTACTGCTTATGCTGTAAATCATCCCAGAGAAGAGTTAGAAGTAGTTTCCTGTCTTTTGTCCTACTGCTTATGCTGTAAATCGTCGCAGAGAAGAGTTGGACGTAGTTTCCTGTCTTTTGTCCTACTGCTTAGTCTGTAAAGCATTGTAGTGAGGAATCAGATGTAGTTTCCTGTCTTTTATCCTACTGCTTATGCCGTAAAGTGTGACACAGAGAGTTCGATATTTAGACCAGAAACTTCCTGTACACTTATAATGGAAGAGTTACCAAACTTTTGTAATCAACATTTAAGAGCTAAAACTCACCCAAAACCTCCAAGGAGGTATGCAAGAATGCTACTGATCATTGACAGAGTTGCTCTAAAAGAAAAACCTTATTTAGCAAATTGAAATCAACTAACTGCTGTGTTAATACAGCAGACGTGACACTGATCTTCACGTGTTAACACTGAAGACATCCACATCAAATTCAGTTTGACTCTACATGCCCTAATTAATTACATTAAAAATTCTCATCAGTTACTTTATTTTTACTGGCTATAGACTGGACTATGAAAACAGTAACTGCTAACACCAAGAATGGAATTCAGTGGACCACTACAAAACAGCTTGATGATCTGGACTTCGCTGATGATATTGCTCTTCTGTCCCATTCACGGAATCAGATGCAAGATAAATTAAATATACTTAATATGAGATCACAGCAGCTTGGTCTGAAAATCCATAAAGGAAAGACAAAGATAATGAGAATAAATCAGGCAAATAGTAATGTGGTTTCTCTTAATGGCACCCCACTCTAAGACGTGGAGTCGTACACCTATTTAGGCAGTAATGTAGATAAAGATGGAGGAACTGATAGAGATATTAAAATAAGAATACAAAAGGCAAGAGGGGCTTTCATAGCACTAGGGAATTTGTGGAGCTGCCACGGTATAGCAGCTTGATAATCACCAGTGGATCTGAAAATTGTGGGTTGAAATCTAAGAGAAGCCAGACTTTTTTTTCTTCAGAAACGACCCTGACTGCCAGGTCAACCCAGCATTAAATGGGTACCGAGTGAAGTTGTGGGAAGTAAAGGCACCCAGCTTGAAACTGACTACATCACTCATCCAGTACTGATTGGTTTATAAAACAAAGGTCTAGCACTATATGCCCAATGCACCCAAAGACAAGAAAAAGGGTCCTCTTTACTTTATATTGAGTATCAATATTGCACAAACTTTACTTGTCCTGTCCAAAGTTATTACAATTGTTATCAAGATCATATTTTACGCTTCATGTCCTGGGCAGATGTTATATTAAAATATTAACTGTCTCTAACATAAGGCGTTAAAATTTTTGTCTCATACGAAATTTAAACCAACAATTGCAATAAGTCTGGACAGAAGTAGAACTGACTAAACTGACTTTAAAAAAAAAAAAAAATAACTCAGACACATCTAAGAAACAAACACTGAACTGCAGATACAAGTAACAGAAAGAATATCACAACCTCTTACATTTAAAAGAGGAAAAAATCAGCACTATAAATTTCATGTAAACATCTTATTTTTTTTTTTTTATTATTTGTTATTAATAATGTGATCTGTGTTGTAGTTGTTTTCTCCTTCCCATTATTTCACTATTTTCCCAGTGTGGGTCCTGGGACCCCCACTGTGGGGAAAACAAGAATAGACCCACTGCCTCCCCAACAAAAATGTTTTAGGAGTCAACTAATTAGGAGCTTCCTTAAAAGCCATCTGCCTAATAAGCAAGGAGCACTGAATAGCACACAAATAAGCCAGCAAAACGGATGTATATGCAAAACTCTGGCCCTGGCACAAAGCCAAAGTCCAAATCGGCGAATAACCATGACTTTCCACCTGAGCTTACAGCCAGGGGACAAAAAAGAAGAAGAAGAAGAAATTTTCAGTACTGTCTGCTTTGCCTTTTTTGTCCCCATAAAGACAAGTGCTGCACTTGTCATGTCAGTCTGTAGCAAGCCAAACTAAGAAATCCAAGGGCTTCTTTCACACCCTGCTAACAGGTACAAGATCACAAACTTAGCCTCTCCTTAAAAGCAATGAATAAAAGTTTATGGAAAACAATTTGCTGTACACATTAAAAATTCGGTGGCAAATGGAAGATTAAATAGCAAGCTTTAGCTGCCTGTTGACCTTCACAAAAAATAAAAATGGGAAATAAGATATCCATAATGGAATAAAAGCATCGTCTTGTGATGATGAGAAAGTAAAAGGGAAACCACATTATTTACCACAAATAAGTTTCATATACCAAAGCTATTCAACAACTAAGTTAACTCAGGGGCCAAAATGTTTAACATGGGGATCACCACAGGCCAGAGCCTCAGCACAGAAAGACCATTAATTCAACTGGCAACTATCCGAAGGCCAATTGATAGGTCTCTGTAGACCAGATTTGGCTCACGGGCCGCCAGCTAAACAGCACTGTCATAAACAGTCAGTCACACAAGCTGGATTTAAGGTTGAATGGAATGTAAGAAACATTATGCCAGCTATAAGACTGAAAAACATGACATATGAGCCCAAACATATCATCTTGATCCTCTCGTACACTACGGTGTCAAGGTGAAGTATAAATTGCAGAAGAGTGCTTGTTGGCTTCACATATGGGAATTCCCAGAAACTATTATTTCCTCTGCGTGCCATTTTTGACTGATCTGAACCTCGGGTTACTCCATATCCCTCTAGGGCCCCAGTATAACCTTATGGGCTTACCAAGACATGTACAGGTAGGATTCTCGTCCTTTAAGTGTTCATCATGCAGACTACAATCTAAAGAGAGCAAACCAAGCACTGCAGTTTGTTACCTCTGTCCATCATATGCATGAGCAGCCTTTCTTTCAATTCCTTCTTCACTACTCATTGTGGTATACTGTCTGTTGGTGGTTAAGTTTAAATGACCAAACCATTTCACCTTTTTCTAATGAAATCTAGAGTCACTACTATCCCTCATATTCTTTAAGGTTTAACTGTTTCTTTTCTCTTCTCAAGATGGGTTGCAATTTTTCTTTGATCAAATATGCTGACTTAAAAAATTAAGTCCTTAAACTCCACCCAACATATCAATAAACAACAGACAGATTTCATAAACTGACCTGGCTCAATCATAAATTTTGGTTTTAACATGTCAGTTAACTGTATTCACTCTTCTTGGTGGGTGAGTACTTATGTGTTCTGGCGGCGAATATTTAGGTGGCGTCACTGGCTCTCCTTGTTCATTTAGATATAAAGATTCATATGAAGGTGGTAATTCATTCATATCATGTAATGAATCAATGTCACTGTCGTGTGCGTGATCATCTATAACGATATTAGTATCAGGTGTTGTCACACCATTCTGATTGTTTTGGGGTGAACTAGAACTGTTACCAGACGACTGAGTCTGGGGTAGACCGCTGTTTTCTGCACTCTCTCCAGTTGGCGGCCTATTCCGCATGAGTCTATCCCTCTCTCTTTCAGTATCCTCATGGTCGTCTGTGCTGGTCTTTTTTCTCAAGCATCTGAAGCACTTGGTGACTCTCAGAACAAAATATATCAGCCCTATGCCGGCTAATACAGCTCCAACTATCCCCGCAATTTGAATGAGCTTTTCTTTAGACATAACTGAAACAGAATGAAATATACATATAGTATATATAGTGAAAATGCTGGATATAAATGTTTTCAGTTGATTATGCAAGTGATCAATGACTCAACCGAATAAACAGAGTTAAGTAGTAGTAGTAGTAATTTTTCAAAAATATTCTGTTCAACCAACAAGGTTATAAGGATATATAGTGTTTATTGAGTTCTCAGAGTATATGTTATTTTAAATTTATAAATCATGTAATTACTTATATGACCAAAACATAATTTTTATTATTTTACATTTTGCTTTGTTTTGGGTTGAGATTAGGATGGAAATTGTATTATGAATAGTTAGACAATCTTACTAATGTTGTGTCATTAACATGGTGGATATGTTGTTTCCTTTGTGTGTACTCATTGATTATTCTTATAGATTTTATCTTTAGGGGAAACTTCTACAAAGACGTCATGAGAATTATTTACACTTCTATATATGGATTTTAGTCCTAGTAATACACTGCTTGACCTTACGCTCTCTGGGGTTGTTTATGTACAGCAAGTTTTCCATCGTCATAGGTAATTTACAGAGATTCATGTAGTCAATTTCTTTTGATTTTCATATTTCCTACACTCCAGCAAATAGTGCTCTAAAGAATTATATTTCTGACATACATTTACAGCTCTCTTCCTGTATAGTAAAGCAAGACCATCCAAGTTGTAGTTTAAGCAGTCTACAATTGCATGGTATTTTCACTTCGTGTGTTATCTGATTTGGTCTTTTAGGAGCATTTAACAGAGTGAACGAATAAATTAATGAATGAATATAACTGCACTCATCACATTTCCACTCATGCCTCATCCCTTTCTTTAAAAACCTACTAAGAATTCACAATCTCATGCTACATGACTGAAAGTCAATCTATTGTTTTCCTTGCACACTGAGCTTTATTCATATCCTTTGCTCACTCCCTACTGAATTAGTATCTCACTAGGTAGGAATGTTGTCGCTCCCGCTACACTAGGCATCTGATCCAACAAAGCTTTCACCATGTCTTACTTATCATAAGACAGATCACCGCCCCAAGGAGTGGCAGCAGCCAGTCTTCCAGCCTTCTCATTTTCCTGAACATCAGCAGATAAATTGTAAGGCAGGGACTAAAGCACTGAGCCAAGACCTTTAATATACTGTAGTACTCATGATAGTCTGCAAGTACTGTATGTAAGAGCAGTTTCCATAGAGCAGACTGTAATAGCCATTGTGCCTATGACATCCTTTGACTAAACCAAAGCTAAAGTGATGACTAGTTCAGTTAGGTTAAATTATAATAAAGAAAAAACCAACTGCTGGCTGTTCTAATTTTATTATGGCCAAGACAAAAATGTCATCCATGAAGCAATGCACATCAGCCAAACAAGCAACATTCAACTATGATCTGGCTAAAATTCCACACTACCTAGTCAGCAGATGACAAAAACCCCACCAATTTGTTTATCTATTCAGAGGTGCATGGCTACATAAGCAGCATGGAACAGATAGCAAGCATTAACTCTTTTAGTTCCAGAATTTCACAGCTGATGCCTCACTGAAGCAATAATGGTAGCAAAAGCATTGGTATCCTGCATCAATGGGATCCAAATACACAGCACATTGTTGGTGACTTGTCTTAGTTGATTTAGTTTGCATGATTGAACTTAAGACGTACAAATTTACAAAGCATGTTTGACTGGTGCACATGAGTAATATCCAGTAAACGTAATATATTTTTTTTTAAATCTGAAAATGTCAAATTATGTTTGAACATAAGAAAAGGTGCTAAGACAGTTGAGACAAACGTGTGGGGATCAACGTTAATCTCATCACAGATACTTAAGTGGTATTCAAGATTTAATTTCTGTTTATAAGGATGAACTCACTACCAAAGTCAGAGAACTGATGCAAGAAACAATTATGAATGTCTGACTCTAAGGATGAAGGCAAATGAATTTGATGATCCATATTTGGTAGAGGATTTAGGTAAAAGAAAAGTCATTTTCTGGTTTTATGTTCTCAAAAATGTTTTACTACAAGTATTTGTTGCCTTCTGGCGACTAGACACTTGCCTGCAGGACAGAAGGTCGTAGGTTCAGGTCCTCATGGGGCCGGACAGTTTTATAAATGACCTTGGCTCCCAGGTCAACCCAGCCTTGAGTGGGTACCAGGTACAGTCCTGGGAAGTGAAGGTGGTTGGCGTGATGCTGACCATATAACAAACCAAGTGCTGTTTGGTCTATAAAATATAGGTCTAGCCCTATATACCCAATATGAGTGAAGGCATGGAAAATGGTCCTTTTATTTGTTGCCTCATTTGTATCTTGATACATTCATGCTGGATCATACAACCAAGAAAGTCAAACTGCAACCCAAAAACACAACCCAGAAACAGCAAATAAAGCCCAAAAAAAGCCATGAATCCTAAATACAACTAAGAAACACCAAATGCAATCCAGAAACTAAAAATACAGTCCAGAAACTCCATATGTAACCCAGAAGTATTAAAAACAACCTAGAAGAAGTTAAACCAAAGATTAAATTTATTCAGTTTTCTTTACGGTATAGATGAGTAAATAAAATGTTTCTAAAGGATTTAATTTTATTGGAATATATGATAAACACTATTTTCTACTACCAACCTGAATGTGATGAATATGTCATGCTAAATCGTCTTTCACCTTCTACTTCTCCTCGTCTGTAAATGACCTGGATTTCTCTATCGGAGCTTACATACATATCTTTTGGCGCCTGATCACATAATACATCTAGCTTGTCGTCACCATCGCCTGCAGAACAAACAGACGTGAAGATGTGTTTGAGTTTAAAGCAATGCTCAAGCTGATTGGGGGGCAGGGGGGGGGGGGCACCGTGATGTAGTGGCTAGACATTGCCTGCAGAGCTGATGGTCATGGGTTCAAATCTAAGCAGAGTCTGACTTTTTTTTAATGATCTTGGCTTCCAGGTCAGACCCAGCCTCAAATGGGTACAGGTAAAGTCGTGGGAGGTAAAGATAGTTGGCATAATGCTGATCACATCACCCACTGAATACCGACTGGTCTATAAAATACAGATCTAGCCTTTTTTGCCCAATATGCCTGAAGGCATCAAAAAGGGTCCTTTAAATTGACCCTTTGGGGTCCATGTGGGTAAATGGGCATTTTTTTTAATAACATGTTTTTTTAAAACTATAAAAATTTAGTCCAAAAAAAAAAAAATAAGAACAAGAACTTCCAAAATCTGTTATAAACGTCAGTTGGTAATAACCCTGCGACTGGAAAAGATCACTGTTGAGTTGTGTGTTACTTATTTCCCAGACTGAAATGAATGTATTCTGTCACCTTTTATTTGTAAAATGTTAGTTAAACATATAATTCCAGAATTATGTAAATACTGGTTACTGTAGTTGAACTGATATAATGAAGTAACTTCTTCTTAATGTTCATTGGCTGTAAAAATCAAGCAGAAAGTTCTCATTATTCATCCACTTCTGGACTTTACAGTCTTGTTCCAGGATTTGAGTTTTGTGTGCACATCCGTGTTAAAGATCTGGCTTATTTGTATGCAAATTTGTGGCTCCTTACCTTTGAGGCAGATGCCCTCTGACTTGAAGAAACCACCCCTAATTAGTTGTCATTTATGACATACTTGTTACTGGGTCAGTGGATCTGTTCTTGTTTTTCCTTAAACTGGGATCCTGGAATCCATTTGGGAAAATAAGTAATAAAAAAGAACACAAATATGTCTAGAAAGCCCTTTGGAGGAAAAGGAGAAACAAGGACGCACAAGAAAAAACCTAAGACAGAAGGTAATGAGAAAGGCCAAAGGTGCTAGGTGCTGGACTAGATTCCATTCATAATATCAAAAAGATTCGACAAGATAGAATAGGGGGAAACAGACTGCAAGTCCTCTGTGACATATAAACAACATAACAGTATGATGATGCTTAAATTTTACAAGACTTATGCAATGAGGTCACTAAATTTTATGAAATCTTGTCCACATGTATTTACCATTATGTATTTCCAGACAGTCTCCCTTATTAGATTTTGTGGAGTTTTTCAGCTGAAAGTTGGGAAATGTCAGCTTGATGTAGCTGTCCTCGTCGGAGGTTGTGATCACCCATGTACAGCGCTCGCCTCTGAAACCAAAATTCAGCATTAAAAACAACACATTCTTATGTTACGTTATCACAATCGGCATCAAATACCGCCACTGAGGTTGGTGTGGTGTATTAAGTCTTCATACATACTTACGTGGCCACGCCATATGTGGTGGATTAGTCAGTTGCTTCCTCACTGCCTTTCCTTGTTAAACAGTTCCAATAACATTGTGGAAGTTATGGGTCAGATCTTCTTCTTCAGCATAAAGTTCACTGCTGCAGATATCACCCACCTAAATTCATCTCTCTGGTTGGCCTTCTCTTTCCAGTTGGTGACATTAAGTGTTTGAAAGTCTGACTGGACATTATCTCTCCATCGTCTTCTTGGTCTGCCTCGTGGTCTATGACCATTCATCTCCCTTGTGTATACAGTTTTTACTTCTCTGTCATCTGACATTCTTTTAATTTGCCCAAACCATTTCAATCTATTAGCTCTCATGATGCCAGTGATCAATGGTGACTTAAACAGATTATGAATTTCATTGTTGCTTCTCACTCTCCATTCCCCACTGTTTGCATCTTTGATGGGTCCAAAGATTTGTCGTAAGACTGTTTTCGAAAACATGTAATAAGGCTTCATCTCTTTTAGTTGTTTAGTTGTGCTCCAAGTTTCTGAGCCATATAAAACAGATGGTCTTATCAACATTCTATATATTTTGATCTTGGTGTTGCGAGACAGACACTTTGACTTTAGCAGATGTTGAAGGGCATAGTATACTCTATTTGCGGATTGTATTTCTTCTCTCAGCATGTTGGAGCAGTTAAAGTTTGCACCCAAATACTTAAATGTTTCTATTTGATTTTCATTTGGGTCAGATATTGAAGAATATTTCGACTTATTACAAGAGACTTCAAGCTAACACTCAGACTGAGAACTCACCATTCTATACCCAACACTGGACGATAGAACAATAATTCCTGCATGCTATATAGAGCCAGTTGTAAGATATGGCTGTGAATCCTGGACAACTGATGAACAAGCCAAACAATTTATTGATGCCTCGGATATGTGGCCTTTAAATAAGAATCCTCAGAATTCCTTGGACAGCCAAAAAGAGTAACCCAGAAGCAAGCGAGTGCTCGATGACAACTTAATCACAAAAATCAGAAAGAGACATCATCATTTTTGGTTATGTTATAAGAAGAAGGAAACCGGAATTGGAAAGATCTGTGGAAAAAGATACCTGCCTTGTACCTTCAACTCCTCTGTCTTTTTTCTTGGCTGTACATTCACCCTCTCATACTGCTGTTCATCCATCTCTTGTTGTTGTCCTCCTACTTGTATCATTGTCTAATCTTTATCTCTTGTCTTCAATTTCTCTTTTTAGTATTGTTTTTAAAAGAGTTTTGTTTTTAATGTGGCCATAATATCAAAATTGTCTCTTTAAAAAAAAAATTTATGTTTCTCTATAACCAAAACCATTTGTTCCATACAATTATAATTAGTCAATAAACAGGTGCCTATTCTTCTTTAGAAATACAAACTGTTTCTCCCTGATGTGGCTTTTGGGTCGATTCAGTGTCATAAAATACTTTAGGCCTCTCTTAGAAGGTTAAGGTAATCAACTGTTACTAGCTATGTTTCCCCTGCAAGTGTCATTACTCCGTAAGTGTCAGTACCCCACAAGTGTCATTATGTCATAAAAAATTGTTATAAAACACTTTATTCTCCATCCAACGTGATGGTGAGTAAATATTGTAACCCAAAAAAAGCACAATTCAGTTATATTTAGCAAACTTGTAATTAGTTGCTTTTACGCCATGCTTGTTAAGGGCATGCATTTGTTGAATTAGACTAAGAATTACCAAAAGAAAGACAAAAGTGATAGTGCAGTGTGCCAATGATAGACCTGCAGTCTACAATGATGGGGAAGAGCTGAAGACAGTTGACCATTTTAATTCATAGCTAGGATTCACAGTGAATGACAAATTATCACAGGACCGAGAAATCTACATCAGAATAGGTAAGGCAGGAACAAAAATAGGAAGACTATCAGAAAGAGTTAGTAAAGCAGAAGGTATACGATTAAAACAAAAACTTGCACTTATCAAGCATGTATTCTCAGCACTCTCCTGGTCAACTTATTCCCACAAAGAGAAATGACTAAACAGCTTTCATATGTTTGCCTCAAGAATACTTGGCATTAAGTTGCAAGACAAGATCACAAACAAGGAAGTAATTTAAAGAGCAGGTAGCACAACGGTTTTCTCAATGCTCAGTCTCCAAGGGCTCAGGTGCCTGGGTCACACTTGGATGCTGGAAGATGGCCTTCTTTATAGTTAATTACAGATGGATAGAAGATGCTGAGGTCATCCTCTACTGCAATACAAAGATGTGTGCAAGCGGGACATCAAGGATACAGGTACTGAGGTAGATTCTTGGAACACAATGCCATGGACCAAGTGGTATGGAGGGTAAAAATCAGGAAGGGAATAAGAATAAGGAAAAAAGATTGCAGATACGTTCAGAACTATCTTGGTTGTCCACACTGGGGTAAATGTAAATGAAAGAGGTGACAGACTGGCCGTGTCTGCAGCTGTTGGTGAATGAAGAAGTATGGACACTGCAGACAAACTGAATTCACTGCGTTCCAGAGACACTGAGATAAAGGAGTCTGAGAGATGCACTGCCTGTTAAAAATGGGTATTCAATGATGACAAGCATGTAGAAACCAGTTGCGGGGCAAAGAAAGAAAGAAGATATGCCAATCAACTCTCACTGGATACAGGGAGCAGGAAGACACTGAAATGGCTGCTGCATTGGAGGACAGAGCACAAATAACTCAGGCCGCTATACAAGGATGTCGATAAGGAAGGCAGGTAACAAGACAAGTTAATAATACCTCAGCGTCTATGAAGAAGCCCATTAATTACATGTGATGGCAAACAATGGTCCTGAATTCATGTTCTAACTATGGAACATTAAATATATGTGATGATAAATATTGGTCCTGAATTCATGTTCTAACTATGGAACATTAAATACATGTGATGATAAACAATGATCCTGAATTCATGTTGTAGCTATGGAAAAATAAATACATGTGATGATAAACAATGGTCCTGAATTCATGTTCTACTATGGAACATTAAATACATGTGATGATAAACAATGGTCCTGTATTCATGTTCTAACTATGGAACATTAAATACATGTGATGATAAATAATGGTCCTGAATTCATGATCTAACTATGGAACATTAAATACATGTGATGATAAACAATGGTCCTGAATTCATGTTCTAACTATGGAACATTAAATACATGTGATGATAAACAATGATCCTGAATTCATGTTCTAACTATGGAACATTAAATACATGTGATGATAAACAATGGTCCTGAATTCATGTTCTAACTATGGAACATTAAATACATGTGATGATAAACAATGATCCTGAATTCATGTTCTACTATGGAAGCGAGTAAGTCTGGCTAGTTACGCTCATAATCATCATATGCTCTGATCCCTATGCCTTCCTATAGCAGAATATATCAATCACTACTGTCTGGAAAGAGAGAAAGATGGCTACAAATGTTAAGAGGCAGTGGGTATTCCCCCCCCCCTCCCCCCCC